TTGGCCTCGTAGCTGCCACTAATCTGATATGCAACTAGCTGAGAGTCTGTTTTCAGGCAGACATGATCGGCTTCCAGGGAGATGCACAATTCTAGGCCGGCGATTGCTGCCTCATATTCGGCTTCGTTGTTCGAGGCCTTAAAAGAAAATTTTAGTGCATACTTGAAGGATTTGCCTTCGGGAGAAGTTATCACTACTCCTGCCCCCGAACCGTTTTCGGTGGAAGATCCATCCGTAAACACAGTCCAGACTTTCTTTTCATTGTCTAGCGCTTCTTGGTATGAGCATTCGGCCAAGAAATCCGCTAGAGATTGAGCCTTAATGGCAGCCCTCGGACGGTAGCTGATGCTGAATTCGGTGAGCTCAAAAGCCCACTTGGCTAGCCTACCAGATTTTTCAACCTTGCCGAGAACTTTTTCCAACGGCTGATCAGTTAAGACCACTATCTGATGGAAATCAAAATAGGGCCTCAGTTTCCGAGCAGCTACTACTACCGCGAAAGCGACTTTCTCGAGTAGGGGGTAGCGAGTCTCGGCATCCGTCAGTGTATGACTGACAAAGTAGATCGGTTGCTGACTTTTGCTTTCTTCCTTCAGCAGTACTGTACTGATGGTGGCTGGGCTAACGGCCACATACAGGTACAAAGTTTCTCCTTCTGCTGGGCTAGCCAGCGTTGGGAGTTGAGCCAGATGCTCCCGAAGCTGTTTAAAGGCGTCTTTTTGCTCTTCCTCCCAAACGAGCTCTTTTGTTTTCGGGAGTTTCAGGGCTTTGAAGAAAGGTAACCCCTTATCCGAAGCTTTGGAAATGAACCTCGAGAGGGCTGCCATTCTTCCGGTGAGCCGCTGAACATCCCGCTTCGTTTTCGGCTCAGGAAGGTCGAGCGCTGCTTTGACTTTGGAGGGATTGGCATCAATCCCCCTCTTGCTGACTATGAACCCAAGGAATTTCCCTGACTTCACGCCGAAGACACACTTCTTCGGATTCAGCTTCATTTGATGCTTTCTTAAGGTGGCGAAAGTTTCAGCCAGGTCCTTAACATGGTCCTCAGATTTTTTGCTTTTGACGATCGAATCGTCGACATAGACTTCCATGTTTCGGCCCTTTTGATCGGCAAAAACTTGATCCACCAGCCTTTGATAGGTTGCCCCCGCATTTTTCAATCCGAAGGGCATCATTTTGTAACTGTACACCCCAGCGTTTGTGACGAATGCCGTCTTTGCTCGATCGTCGGGGTGCATGAAGATCTGATGATACCCCGAGAATGCGTCCATGAAACTAAGCAGGGCATGGCCACTTGTCGAATCGACTAGCTGATCGATCCTCGGCAAGGGATAGAAATCCTTCGGGCAAGCCTTATTTAGGTCCGTGAAGTCAACGCACATCCTCCAGGTACCATTGGCCTTCTGAACCATCACCACATTTGCCAGCCATTCTGGATATTGGCAAGGCTCGATGAAGCCTGCCTCCAGCAATTTTTTGACCTCGGCTGCGATGTCTCGGTTCTTATTAGCGGAATAATTCCGCTTCTTTTGCTTAATTGGTCGACACGTTGGGTCAACATTAAGCTTATGGGAGATGAGGTCTGGACTTATCCCGGGCATATCAGCTGCCGAGAAAGCAAACACATCTCTGTTGTCCCGAAGGAGCTGAATAAGTTCACAACGGGTGTTCGGATCGAGGTCCATCCCAATTGTTACACATTTCTCAACGTCTCCTTCGGCAAACTCAACTGTTTCAGTCTGTTGGTCCATGTCCATTTCTGATGGACTGGACTCTTCAGAATCTGGCCTGCTGCCTATGTCAGCAGGTGTCCCAGTCTTTTTGTTCTTCGGCCGGCTCTCTGAGTCTTGCTGTTCAGCTGAAGAGCTAGCCTTTTCCCTTTCGGGCCCTTTACCTCTGGGTACAGATCCTTGGGCCGAAGCACTTAGGCCTTTCGGCTTTTTTGTGCTTGGCTCTCTTTCTTTTTCTTTCTCCTCCTCATCCTTGTCGTCATCTGGGCGACTACTGGATGGCTTGAGGTAGTTGCACCTTCGGGCGTCCTTTTGGTTGCCCTGTATCCTTTCGGGGAAGCCAGCGTCTGAGACGTAAATCATCAACTGATGATAAGTTGAGACGACCCCTTGGATCTCATGAATTATGGGCCTCCCCAAAATCACGTTGTACACTGAAGGAGCGTCAATGACCAAAAATTCAATCATGACGTTCCTGGCTGCCTCATCGCAGCCGATGGTAATAGGAAGTGTCACCTTCCCATCTGGATAAGTTGAAGCCCCGTTGAACCCGGATACCAGGTAGGGTACCGACGTAAGGTGCTTGGGCTTCAGCTTGATTTGATTGTAGGCCTTTCGGAATAGAATGTTTGCTCCGCTGCCACCGTCAACAAGGACCTTACTGACGTCGTAGTTGGCCACCGTGGCGATGATCACCAACGGGTCCTCGTGAGGGAACGTTACCCCCCGGCAGTCGGCGGCTGTGAACGTCATGTTCGGCACCGGCGATTGGGGAGACTGAATGTCAGCGTTGTTCACCTGGTGAGTCAAAGCCCTAAGGTGTAGCTTGTGCTCCCTCCGAGAGCATATTCCTCCCGAGATAACATTGATCGGAGAGAATTTTCCCTCCGCATTTTTACTGTTCTTCCGGGGGAAGTCGAGGTCTTGCCGAGAGTCCTTTGCTGACTTCTCGGCCTCCTTTTTCTCGCGGTGATCCGCGATGTATTTTTTCAAGTATCCCTTCCGGACCATGTCCTCTATCTGGTCCTTCAGTTGGATACACTCCTCAGTGTTGTGTCCCGGAGATTCGTGGAACTCGCACCACTGATTTTTATTTTTTCGCTGATACCACTCTGGGAGTGGTCTCGGCTTTCGGTAACTCTGCTCCTCCTTCGTCACGCTGTAAATTTTGGCGCGTGGAAGAGAGAGCGGAGTGTAGGACTCGTATCTGCCTGTGTATGAGGCAGATTTTTCCTTCTTTGGGTCGCTGGCCGAAGATTGCTCCGAGGCCTTTGACTTTCCCTTTGCCTTATGGCCTTGGCCTTCAGACAAGGGTAATTGTTTTTGTTTTCCTCCCCCGAATTGAGGTTGGGTTTTCGCTTTGTTCCATTCTTCGGCTCGGATGAACTTATCTGAGGCATTCAGAGCCTCCTCTAAGGTCTGTGGGGTATGCATGACCATGAAGTCTAGGAACTTCCCGGGCTGAAGGCCATTCTGCATTGCAAAAACGGCTAGCCCCTGGTCCAGCTGAGAGACGCTGGATGACTCGTTGCTGAAACGGGTCAGATAGTCTCGGAGGCTTTCGGTAACTCTCTGTTGCAGACTCATGAGTTCTGCAGTAGTCTTCTCTCGGCGGTTTTCCGTGGAAAACTTGCTCCTAAATTTGGAGGACAGATCATCCCACCCTGTTATGGAGCCTTGCTTTACTCCCTTGGAGATCCACGCTTGCGCGACCCCCTTGAGAGTGGTTGGGAAATATTTGCACCAAGTCGCTTCGGATCTGGGGCAAAGATGCATATGAGTCTCATACGAGGCCACGTGGTCCTTCGGATCCGAGGTCCCGTCATATGTGATGTGCGACGGTATTTTAACCGTGGTCACGTGCTCTTCCAGTATCCATTGCTCGAATGGCGAACTGGCGGGTAGCATAACGGCCTTGCCCTTGTTCCTGGCCGAAGGGACCGCGCTCCGCCCTCTTAGAGATGTAGGAGTGGTTTTCGTCCCTGGCTGGGAAGTCTGGGCCTCGGCCGCAGGGAACGAGAGGCGACTGTGCACGCTAGGTTCCTTGCCGCCGAGTCGGTCGAGGACGCTTCGGCGAACAGTCTCAGGTTGTTCTCGGTGAGTAGATTCTGGCCGAGAAGCTGAGCTGCTGCTCTTATGCGTTTCTGGTCGGGAGGTTGAGGATCCTTTGAAAAATTGAGGGTTCTTTTTCCTCTCTTTTTCAGTTTTTCAGGTATCCTCTTCCCACTTTTCCAGTTCCCGGAAGGAAGGAAGCTTCCCACCATCATGGTTTAGCTTCCTCCGTTGATGCCGGGTATGCGGGGGAGTTCGATCACGAGGTGGTGGCATATTTTGTGCCCTCATTGCCTCCATGAGAACTGCCAGCGCTCTTGCCACCTCCTCCGAGCTGGGCCCCGTCAAAGGGGTCCTCGGCCGAGTATGGGAATGAGAGCGCACAGTCGATGGTTGGCTTTGGGGCACTGAATGCGTCCTATGATCGGACTCACCCCTGCTAGACCGAGAGTGACTCGGCCTATGATGAGAGTTATGAATTACGGGAGAAAGGGAATCCTCCCTGTATGATCCTCCCCCCGAGCTGGCACCCTTGGGAGAGTTTCGGTCCGGCGAGGGTGATGGTGTAGGGGTTTTAGGCTTTTCGCCTGCTCCTTGACGGAGGCCTTTGCTCTTGCGGTTCTTAGCCATTGCTACTAAGATAATTGCAAGATGATCTTGGTTAGAAATTTGGCTTAAAGATTTTTAAAAGTCATCCCCACAGACGGCGCCAAATTGTTTCGGGTGAAAACAATGGGACCTTGTCGAAGGTCCGATGAAGTGGAGAAGACTGGATTCGGTCCAAGTGATGCTGGGCCGAAGGTTTCCTACACAGTAAACACACGTAAACTAGCCTCGGGGGTGTTGCCGAGGAAGGCCCCTCCGATGCTAAAGTCAGTACAGTGTGTAGAAAAAGAACACTATGCAAGAGAGAATTAATTGCTTGAGGCTTTTCTTGAATAAATGTACAAATGTAATATTGATGGCTTTTATACCTTTACATATATGGAGAAGTTGGGCCTTAGCCCAATTGGCTTGCCTTGAGGACTGATCTTTGACTTTAGCGCAATTGGAGAGAGGAACCTTGACCTTGGGCTTTTAATTGGATCATTTAATGCCTAGGCCCTATTGGACTAAATTGGACCCAAACACCATTAATTTCACGTTTCATCAATAATGCACGTAGTATTTAATATTTTTATCCATCGTTATTGACTTGATTAACCAGGGGAGTGAATTATGATTGCTGAAAGCTGTAAATGAAATTTCTTCCAAGTTATAATAAAATTACATATTACTCTAATGTATTAATTAATATGATCGACAAGACTATAATAGATACCTTAGCTTTGTGTAGTACTTCTAACTGTTCCAAGTTCTAATGTACAAGGCAATAATTCATTTTAACTAAGCTTGTCAAATAGTGTATGCAATGTATTGATCAATTTTAAATACAAAGTATGCTATATATATTGTTTTTTCAACTGATGTACAATTCCAGATCGACGTCCAAGAGGGCGGGTGGAGAACAAGTTGAAGGATCTTGGAGGTTACTTGCCATTATACAAAGCAGTAGTTAAAGGTGAGTGGAATAAAGCCAGGAAGTTCTTGGACGACGATCCTGAGGCGTTAACAGCTAAGATCACCATAGCCTCAGAAACAGTACTCCACATCGCGGTTGGCACAGGGAAAGATCTTGAATTTGTGGATAAACTGATAAGGAGGATGTCCCCTGAAAACTTGGCACTGACTGATCAAAATGGGGAGACTGCACTATCAGTAGCTGCAGTGGTTGGCAACATTCGAGCAGCTAAATTATTGGTGAGCAAAAATCCTGATTCGCCTAATATTTCAGGCAAATTAGGCTTGCCTATTCATAGGGCATCGCAGTATGGCCAAGAAACAATGATCCGGTATTTGTTGGATGTTACTAGAGATGACATTGAGTCGAGTCCTTTTGCAGGCGAATCTGGTGGTAAACTCCTCATTGACATTATTACTGCCGAATTTTTTGGTGAGTTCATCAGATAATATTGTTGGATTATTATAGCTTGAAATTTCTTTGATTATTTACTCTCAAGTTCACATATACAAGTATAAAAGGTTTATATTATAAATTGTTGTAATATGCTTTATTATGAGGTGTTGGGACAATTTAACAGTATTTACTCGATCAAGAGTATTTAACAATGCCCGTCGTTCTATGGAAGAGTTGAGAATGATCTTTAGTTATTTGATCTCTATGAGTTCAATCAGGAATTGCTCTCTATTTGGTTGGGCGGTACCCGGAGATGGCCACAGCTGAGGTACATGGTGTAGGTTCCCCCTTGTCTGTGCTAGCCAGAAAGTCTAATGCTTTCCCCAGTGGTGCTGTTTCACGTTGGCATTTACTATTCGATTATCATGGTATGCTATTCTATTCAAATACTTGTATTAACTTTACTGTTAAGAACACATTCTAGATGAATTTCTAATTATTAATATTTTGGGAAATTCTCAATGGTGCTCGGTTTCTTTTTTCTCAATAGTAAACACTAAAATTACAAATTATCAATGGTAATCTATAATTTGTAAAAATAATTCAGTGGTAACATTAGTTACGCATTTTAAAGAAACATTAACCGTGGTTAATGTTTTAAAAGGGGGGAAAGAGAAATGTCTAAAATACCCCTATTTAAAAAAAAAAACCCACCCAATTCTTCTCCTCCTCCCCTCCCCCCAAAACCCAGCCCCTGCCTACCCACGACCCCGACGTCGGTGCCAACCCCACCGGTAATTTCCTCTCCCTCTTTCGCGGCTCCCACCACCACCACCATCATCATCATCATCATTTTCACCATTAACAGAATACCCACCATCATCATCATCATCATTTTCACCATTAACAGAATACTCACCATCATCATCATCATTTTCACCATTAACAGTAGCCCTAAGTTTTGACGAAGATCGAACCGGGCTACGGATTTCCGGTTCAACGAATCAGGTTAGTTTCATAGGCGTATTTCGACTGCGGCGGCCAGGAATCGGTGTTAGATCATCGGAAACTGCCATTGAAGGAGATTGAAGGGTTTTTTAGGGTTTTTCTCTATCTTCGAGATTTGTTTTGGTGGTGTAGTTTGGTTTGGGTGAGTTTTTAGAGTTCCGTCCTCCAAAAAATGTGACGGAAATTCGAAGAGAGAGAGAGAGAGAGAGTGTGTTCTGCAAATTCGAGAGAGAGAAAAAATTTGTGAAAGGGGTGGTGGGTGGCTGGGAATCAGGGGAAGGAGAGGGAATCGGGGAAGGAGATCTGTGAGAATATGTGAAGGGGAAAGGAGGGAGAAGGTCGCCGGCGTCGGGGAAAGGAGGGAGAAGGCCGCCGGCGCTAGGGGAAGGGAGGGATAGGGTTGCCGGCCGCCACTGGCAGGGGAGGGGGCTGGCAGTGGATTGGGGTTGGGGTGGCTGGGGTTTTTTTTAAATTTTTTTTTTATTTAATTAATAGGGTTATATTAGTCATTACGCTTTTATTTAACCAGGGTTAAGACAATAATTATGGATTAATATTATTGATGTACCACTGAATTAGTTTAACAAATTATAGATTACCATTGATAATTTGTTTTTTTAGTGTTTACCATTGAGAAAAAAAAAAAAAAAAAAAAAAAAAAACCTTAAGAACACTATTGAGAATTTCCCTAATATTTTTCAGAAACAAAGTACTCTTAATTAATTAGCTGTTTACATAATTTTATGTATTAATATTAAGCAATGCTATTTGTTAGTTAAATTCCTTCAACAAATCCAACAAAGAGCACAAATGCAACATAACGCACTTGAGCTTGTAAAAAGCTTGTGCACAGAGATACTAGAGTTAGATGATGCCAAAGCCTTCTCTTTACTTCAACAACCACTTCTGATCGCCGCAAGGTTAGGCACTCATGAAATTATAGAAGAGATTGTAGAGGCATTTCCTCCAGCAATTTGGGCTTCAGATGAGGAGAATCACAACGTTTTTCAGTTAGCTGTCTTACATCGTCAAGAAAATGTTTTCAATCTTATATATCAAATGAGTGATTACAAGCATCTAATTACAAGATATATAGATCACCCACATGATAATAAAATATTACATTTGGCCGGTGAGTTACCATCTTCAGACCGGCTTAACCTTGTCTCAGGTCCAGCTTTACAAGTTCAACGGGAGTTGCAATGGTTTAAGGTTTGCTTGCTGATTCTTACCACTTTGTTCCTTTATTTTTCAAATTGGTACAACAAAAGGTACAAAAGCTAATCATAATTATAATGCATATTTGTATATGTTTTTAGGAAGTGAAGAAGTTTGTGCAACCGGGTCAAAAAGAGGCGATAAATAAAGATGGAAAAACCCCATGGATGGTCTTCAGGGAGGCACATCAACAACTGATGAAAGACGGGGAAGCATGGATGAAGACTACAGCACAATCATGTACAGTTGCCGCGACACTGATTGCAACAGTAGCGTTCAATGCAGGACTACATATTCCTGGAGGTAACAACAACCAAGACGGCCAACCCCTGTATTCTTACCAACCTGCCTTTGGTGCATTTGCAGTGGCAGATGCGATTTCCCTTTTCTCTTCAGTCACTTCCATCCTTATGTTTCTGTCAATCCTAACATCACGTTACTCAGAAGATGACTTCAGAATTGCGCTGCCAAGAGGGTTGGTTGTTGGATTGAGCATGCTTTTTATTTCCATATTAAGCATGATGATAGCCTTCAGCTCAGCAATCTACCTTGTGTTCGGTCTTCAGAGGGCTAGGACTGTGATTCCGGTGGGTTCGGTTCTTGTGCTGCCAGTCACCTTGTACGTGTTGTTGCCCCCTCTATATCAAATTATTTTCAAGTCCAAAAGTATTGGTCCTGGCATTTTTGGCAAACAAAGTGCCCGCATACTTCACTAAGTACATACGATTTTGTAAATGTTGCATCCACGAAGTATGGAATGCGTTGACATATACTACCAATTTTTTTTTATTTATTTATTTTTCTTTTTACAGATATGTACAAGTACTTGCAACTTAAATCATCCTACCTGTTGGAATGGAAACTAGTTGTGCTATTTTTGACAATGAAAAGTTGTACCGTTATTCTTAGCTTATTTTTCTTAATTTATCATACAAGTAAATAATAATGATTTTTATTTTTTATTTTTATTTTTTGAAACAAAAACAGTAATGAAATTGTTACAAAGGAAAAGGTTGATTATATATGGAAGACCTTTTCCATATAAACACGAGGTAGCCTAGCTAAAAACAATCTTACTCCTAAAGGAAAATATGATAATACATAATTTCTACTACGTATAATATGTTTTTATTTGGTCCCATTCACTAATAATTTGGTCAAACATAGAACTAATATAATACTCTTCCTGTTAGGTGGAATGGGGTTTAGGGATTTGCGGATATTTAATCAAGCTATGTTAGCAAAGCAAGGATGGAGGCTATGTACTAATACGGACTCCCTGTTGCACGGTATTCTCAAAGCTAGATATTTTAAAAAAACTGAATTTTTAGAGGCTGCTAGAGGGTACAATCCCAGCTACAGTTGGAGAAGCATTTGGGGTACAAAAGCTCTGATCTTCTCCTTGATGGCTTGAAGTGGAGAGTTGGGAATGGATCATCAATCAAGGTTTGGGAAGATGCATGGCTGTATGGGCAAGGATCTCACCTTGTTCCATCTCCAAAACCAAATAGCGATTTAGAGCTACGGGTGAGCCAACTCATTGATATTGATGGGAGATGCTGGAATAGTGATGTGTTGAAGGAGGTTTTCTCGGATGAAGATAGAAAGGCCATCCTGAATATCCCGATTTCTCGTGGGTTACCTAGAGATAGCCACTATTGGTGGCCAAATCCGAATGGCTTGTATTCGGTGAAGAGTGGCTATTGGCTTGGAAGATTAGGAGTTTTAAGATCATGGGTGATCATTAATGGCTCGTTTGATAAGGAAATTTGGAGTGTAATATGGAAGTTAAAAGGGCCTCCAAAATTGAGTCACTTTCTATGGCATGCGTGTAAGGGCCAGATAGCAGTCAGTGATGTTCTCTTCAAAGACCATATTGGAGCTTCGAGCAGATGCAGGGTGTGTGGATGTAGTGCTGAAACAGTGATGCACTCTCTTTTCGAGTGTAAGTATGCAAGGCAGATATGGGGATACAACGAATTTGGGGACCTTCTGTTTGAATGCCCAGGAACAATCCTTACTGAGATTTTGTGTTGGTGTACGAAGAGGTTAAGCAATGAAAAGGTGAGAGTCCTTACATCCCTATGTTGGGCTGCGTGGCACTGCCGTAATATACACATATTTGAAGGGACTAGAAATATCAATGCTGTAGGGGTGGCTACGGGATTTGTTCAGCTAGCTATTGATTATGGAACGTATAATGCGAAGCTGAAGGGTGGTGAATAGAGAACTCTGGGCAGCTCTAGTAGCTCCTGGTCTTTGCCCCCTAATGGGGTAGTTAAAGTGAATGTCGATGCCCATGTGATGGAAGGTGTGGGGGTGCAGTTTGGAGCAGCTGTTCGTGATAATGAGGGGAGATTACTGGCAGCTGCAGTGAAACGATGTGAGGCTCAGTGGTCACCTGAAATGGCTGAAGCTGGTGCAATGAGGTATGGGGTAGAGCTGGTGTGCAGGCTAGGCTTTGAGAAGGTGATGTTGGAAAGTGATGCCCTTACTGCTGTTCGTGTAATCCAAACGAAACAAGTAGGAGCTGCCCCAATTTTCCTTACCTTCGAGGATGTGCTGCAGATGAGTTATGAATTTGCTTTCTTTTCTTGTAATCATGTTAAGCGAGGGGGAAACACGGTAGCCCATTCAGTTGCTAGATGGGATACTAGTACTTACCCGGAACGAGTGTGTCTGAGTTCTTTTCCCCAAAGCCTACAAACTTTGGTGGATATCCGTCGGACTTTTTCCGTCGGAAACAGGGGGAAATCCGTCAGAAAACGGCATACCGACGGAATTCCGTCGGAAACGGTTTCGGAACAGCCCTTGTTGGAAATTCGACGTTTTCCGAGGGAAATTCCGTCGAAAGCCACTTTTCCGACGGAATACGTTCTGTCGAAGCTGGTTTTGACTTTAACCGAAGTTTCGTCGCAAAGTTCCGACGGAATTTTCCGTCGGTGCTGAAGTGGATTCCGACGGAATATTCCGTCGGAAGGGGAATATTCCGACGAAAATTTCCGTCGGAAACAGTATATTCCGACGGAAATTTTCGTCGATAATTGAATAAAAAAAATAAAAAAAAAGCCACCCCCCGACCACCACCAGCCCAGCCCACCACCCCCTGCCCTGCTCCCTGCCGCCTACTCCCTGCCCTGCCCCTGCCACCTACCCCCTGCCTTGCCCCTGTCCCCTACCACCTTAACCCACCTACCCCCTGCCCTGCCCCCAGCCCACCACCCCCTGCCCTGCCCCCTGCCACCTACCACCTACCCCTTGCCCTGCCCCCTGCCACCTACCCCCTGCCCTGCCCCCTACCCCTTACCCCTACCCCCTACCACCTTAACCCTGACCCATCGCCCTCCCCACCTCACCGAAACCCACAACCCCACCTACCACCTTAACCCACTGCCCCCATCCCCCTGCCCACCTCCCCACCTCACCGAAACCCACAACCCCACCTACCACCTTAACCCACTGCCCCCATCGCCCAGCCCCTCCACCACCTCACCAGACCCACCCATCCACCTCCCCAACTACCACCTTAACCCACCTCCCCACACCGAAACCCACCTAACCGAAACAACCCAAAAGAACACCGAAACCCACCTCACCACCACCGAAACAACCACCAAAAACACAAAAAAAAAACATAAAAAACATCCATACTTCACCAACACCATATATTGCAAAAAAACCAGAAAATTCAACAAATTAATTAAAATCAAAATTTAGAAGAAAAAAAAGAGAAACATACCTTAATCTGAACAAAAAAAACGTCGAAATTGGGTTTATAAGGTCAAATTCGACCATGAAAACTCTAGATCTAGAGTTTTCATGGTCGAATTTGACATGAAAACCTTGGTTTTCATGAGTTGCCATTGAATTTCTTGAAATTATCTTTGATTGCCAAAGAAAACGAAAAAAAAAAAAGAAAGAGGGGAAGAGGAAAGAGAAACAGGGAAGAGGAGAGGAAGGAGAAAGAAGGGAAGAGGAAGGTTGCGTGCGCCGGAAATTCAAAGGAGAAGGGAGGAAAGGAAGGAAGAAAGGAAGGAGAAAGAAGGGAAGACGAAAGAAGAGAGGAGAGAGAAAGAGAAGGGAGGCGGGGAGAGAGAAAGAGTGTATGGGTTAGGGTTTTCTTAGGTTTTAAAGAGAGTTTTTTTTAAAGGGTTTGTTTTTTTTATTATTATTTAATTATTTCCGACGGAATATTCCGTCAGAAATTTCCGACGGTTTTTAATTCTGTCGGAAAATTAATGTTTCGACGGAATATTCCGTCGGAAACTTCTAACGGATTTTGTTTCCGTTAGAATATACATTTTCCGACGAATAATTCCGTCAGAATGCCCATATATTCCGACGGATTTGTATTCCGTCGGAAATTTCCGACGGAATTTTGTGTCCGTCGGAAGATTTCCGTCGGAATCTGGCCTTTTTCTTGTGTGTATGAGTTCTTTTCCCCAAAGCCTACAAACTTTGGTGGATCGGAACTTGATTTAATATAATTTCGCTCGCTTTGCTTAAAAAAAAAATATAATACTCTTCCTACGTCTTTGGAATTGTTTACATGTTATATACTCACACTTACTATAATTCTTATTGGAGAACACCTTGTGGAAGTCTGCTTAGTTTTGACTTTCGCTAAGATCTAAAAAAGTCAACTCTTCCTTGCCTTAATCAATGAAGATTCCCAATCATGGTGTTCATACAGCTATCTCCTCCATGTTTCTCTCGCAATTCCAACTATGAAGATCATGCTTATTGGATCCAGCTGGCCGCTTATTTGGTATACTTCTGGGTGAGAGACAAAGTAAACACCCAGCTAGTAAGAGATTTTTTCAACTTGGAATCCGTCTTAGATTTTTACTGCTGATTTGATTGTATATGTGAGTTGAACGGGAGTTGTGAATCGTGAGGGTGGGCTGGTGGAGATGGCTGAATCCGCGGTGTCCTTTGCTGCACAGCACATCGATACCTTGATTCTTGAAGATTCCAAGGTTTATATGATGTGGAGTCTGAAGCAAAAAACCTGCACAAAGAGCTGAGGAAATTGGAGGAGTTCCTTGATTCAGTAAGAAACAAGGAACCGAGAAACATTGAGCAGGTTCTGTCCTCACTGGCTGATCTTGGAAGGATTGCTTATAATGCTGAGGATGTTGTGGATACGTTTGTATCCGAAACTGAAGGCAAGGTGTTTAGAAGCCTGATGCCACGCGGCCTATTCAAGTCCTCTCGGGTCCAACAGGCCTCCAACAAGATCCAGATGCTCCTAGAGCAGATGAAAGAGGTAAAGACGAAGTTGAAAGATCAGTATGATCATGAGCATGGTGAAGGATCGTCGAAAAACCCCAAGAAGAAATTGAGGGAGGCACAAGTCCATGGTGCTTTGGCATTCCAGCAGGCTCATCTCCAAGCTGATGATGATTTTGTCATTGGCATTGATGAAGATGTGGATAGGCTGATCAAATTATTAGTCGGTAAAGTTGATGACCATGGCCATAGTCGCTGTCCAACCAGCTCACAGCAGGTTGATGTGCTTGCCATTGTAGGAATGGGAGGTTCTGGCAAAACTACCATAGCTAGGAACATCTACAAACACCAGAAGATCACTAAGCATTTCAAGAAACAGGCATGGGTACCGCTCTCTAAAGAGTGGGAGTGGAGCCCATATCATGAGAAAGTGCTGATGTCCGAACTTCTAAGACAATTGGCAGCCAGTGGAACTGGAAATAAACTCCTCGGAGGCGTTGCTTCCACAATAATTTATGATCACGAGCAAGCAAACGATGAGTCTAATGAGGTCTTTATGTTGACCAAGTCACGGCTCCAATATCTAATGAGCAAAATAACGTGCCTAATTGTGTTGGACGATGTGTGGCACTGGGAATATTTCCAGAAGATCCTCCACAACTTATTAATCAGTGAGGATGAATCTTCTAGTGTCTTTACTACTGCTGGCACCAAGATAGTAATCACTACTCGACAGCATCTGCAGCTCTCTGCAGACACCAACTTGAATTGGCAATGCCATTACACACGATTCCTCAGCGATGAGGATAGCTGGAAGTTGTTTAACGAGATGACTAAAAGCAGCAAAAGAGAGCTAGCTAAGGAGCACCGGGGTTTGGCTATGGAGATGCTAGGGACATGCAAAGGTCTGCCATTAGCTATAGTGGCATTAGGCAGACTCCTTAAGATAAAGGACACTATCCAGGAATGGGAAAGGGTGTTTTCTCATTTAGACGGTGAAGAAGGCACGCATCTATATAGGCCAGTAAATGATATCTTGGCGTTGAGCTATGATGAGTTGCCATATTACTTAAAGCCTTGCTTTCTATACTTGGGACTCCTAGCCGAAGATTCCACCATCTCTGCTGGGTCACTGAAGAGAATGTGGATCGCTGAAGGATTTGTTAAACCCCAAACAAAAATCAATGAAACGCCTGAAGATGCAGCAAATCGACTCTTGCAGGAACTAGTAGAGCACACCATGGTTCAAGTTGTGACCAAGACTTATGCTGGAAAAGTAAAGACTCTCCGGGTTCATGATATAATGAGGGACCTTTGTATCCTGAAAGCCCAAGAGCTAGACTTCCTCACCATTTTTGCTTCAGATGCTGATCAAGGCACCGGGACTCATTCATCACGCCGAGCTGCTATCAACTTCAGGTATGTACACATGCACTTTTTCTGCCTTTCTTTTCCACCTAGTGTCATATATGGTAACTAAACCCTAAGTAGAGGGAACGAAGTAGTGGTGAAATCCCAGAAAGGAGTAAGGAAGGAGATCCTGATCGAATTTCTCAAGCAAGCTAGCTAAAAGGTATTTACATTAAGAATTGTAACAAATATGCATTGCCAACTTCAGATTAATTACTACATCATTATTTCTACTCCTTTAATAGCTTCATGACCAATTTATGGGATCGCGTACAGTTTCATGATCAAATAAACTAGATAAAGTATGGGCATTGAAGTTCATATAATGCAAGCTATTAGATGTGTAATTGTAACCGTTTCACACTAGTTTACTGTGGTTCGTTTTTAAAAAAAAATCACCTTCTAAGATTATTACCATTAACAACAAAAGTCACTCAATCTCACAATAAGTTATTGTGAGACTGCCTCATACAAAATTTAGCATTGAAGTTATTGCAGTCATTTGCAATATTATAAGTACATAATTATTCAAAGTCTTTGTACTAGTCAATTCTCAGAAGCATCTGCTTACGAACTAGGAAATTTCGAGGAAATAGCACATTATAAGGAATGACCTTAGTTGCCTGCATAATTTTATTATTACTTGCAGTCCATTGTGAAAATCAGCCTAACCTGTTAGACTGTATAAACAACTATGGAATATGTAAGCATTGACTTATTAGATTCTCGCCCTAAATTGTAAATAAGTACAACTGGCTATAGAAGATTAATTAGTATCTGATTTCAATAGTTTATACAAAGTACTTATTTATTTCTACTTATTACACAATTAGTCTACATCATAAGATATATGCCGATGATGACAGGTTTTGTAAAAAGACAAAAATTATGGTAGTCATAGACTTGTAGTTAATGAGATTTGTAGGAGTTGTCTGAGTTTTTCGGTTCTTCGTGATTTCTACTATGGATTAGTAGATCACCACTTAAATTGTCACCATAAACTATAAAAATGAAAATAAAAAATAAAAAAAATAAAAAAAATAAAAAACTAATGCTTCATACATCATTTATGCAGTTAACGTAATCAAACTTACAGGAGGCTGAGACACTTCCGATTTAACACTGTAATGGACGCCTTGCATTGCCAAGTTCTTACATTATTGCTTCCCTTCTCCCTTCTCCATGCACCTGCACACATATATTAAAAGACTTTGTTATTGCTAATATCTCCTTCATATATTATAAGTTCTATAATATAGAGGATATTCTATGACAAAACTAATTTATCTATGTAAATATGTCCATGCAGCAAATGTTCCAAACCCCTTTCAGCTGATAACTCTCATCTTAGATCATTGCTGCTTTTTGTGCAATTCAGTGCTGGTGTAGGAGTTGGCAAACATGTTAGTAGAGTGAGCCGGCAAGGTAAATTAGACCTTGCCTTAGTATGCGAAAAGTTCAAATTGCTAAGGGTCTTGGATATCATTGGAGTTAAAACCTTGGATAGCACCATGCCAAAAGAAATAGGCAACTTAATTCACTTGAGGTATCTAAGGGTAAGATCAACAAACATACGAGAACTCCCCAAGTCTATTGGGAAATTGCGCAAGTTATTGACCTTAGATTATTGGGATACATCAGCTCATAATAATGAAGTAATAATACCTAATGTCTTGTCAAAGTTGGAGCGTCTTCGACATCTTTTCCTTCCGGGTGATTCAACAAGTAACACATTGGAGGACTTGAAGTTGGACACTCTCAAAGAGCTACAAACGTTAAAATGCCTTCGCCACTTAACCCTTCGGGAAATCCCAAAAATGGAGAGTCTCCCGGAGGGGCTGAAGCACGTCCAAAGTCTCAGATCACTGTGGATATCAGCATGCCCTGCCTTGAAAGAACTGCCAGAGTGGATTGATGCTCTGACGGCACTTCAGCACATTCGTATTGAAAGCTGCCGGCATCTAACAAGACTACCAGAAGGGCTACAAAAAGTAACATCTCTAATGAAAGTTGAGATTACCGAGTGTCCAGAACTGATGGAACGCTGCAGAGAATACACAGGGGAAGACTGGTACAAGATCAAACATGCTCAGGTTTTGCTCCACAAATCATGGCGCTATGGACTCATGTCAGAGCTAGAAACCTCAAAAAACAGATCTAATGTACGGACACTCACTGATGTTAAATACTTCATTGTTCCCTTGATAGCAGCAGGTATATGATGGTGCTTTAAACTAGTATACTTTGTTCTCAAATTTCACTCTCAGAATTCCCTTCAGCTCTTTCTAAAATTATTTTTTTAAAATTCTTTTTGTTTTATATTTAAGATATTTAACTTCAATTCTTTTACAGAAGCCTTGGTCTGACATTACACATGAAATGCAAAGACTGCACACTGTCAAATGTTGATGCATCAAAAGAGAAATACATACCAGCATTCGCAGACGGTATAAACGCCATTACTTGAGGCTTTCAGAGCTATAGCAACAGCAACACTTGTTACACTTTCTCTGACGCTTCATTGACAAACTGAGTGTCAACAATGTCATAGCATAATTTACTTCAGTAATCAATATTTTTCTTGACTCTGTTAATGTTTCCATTTTTTTTTTTCGCAATCAATGGAAAAAAAATTAATTCAGATAACGTAAACCTCAAAGCAAGCTCTTATGTTTAAAATTCGGATACATGAGGGCAATCATCAAACACATACTGAAATCACATTCACGTTTCACATCATTAACCCATTAATTAATTAACAAATTTAAAACTTCAATCAACAAATTAACCTTCACGGTTTCACGTCATTTCCCATTAATTAATTAACCATTTTACAATTTCAATCAACTATTTCAACAATACAAATTTTCAATCAACAAATTTACAACTTTGTCAAAAGAAAAAAAAGAAAAAGAAAAAAACAATTAAAACTTCAATCAATAAATGAACAACTTCAATCGACAATGAACAATTTCACAACTTCAATCAACAATATTACAATTTGGTTCAACAATTTTACAACTTCAAGTCTTCAACCAACAATATTACAACTTCAATTAACAGTTTTTTAACTTGAAAAATTAAAAATAATACCTGAATTGAAGAACAGAAAATCGCCGGTCTCCATTAAGGAGCGCCAACTGCCGGCCGCCGTTGAGGGGAGAGAAGCAGAAAACGGCGACTTATTGTCTTCTTCGATGAGAGTGAGGAGAGAATAAGAAGTTAGGGTCTCCCCCTTCAATGCTCTGTATAACTAAATTGGAATTTGAAGGAATTTTCCCAGAAGCTAAAATTTTACAAAAAAAAAAAATGTTACTATGGATTTTGAACCCGCGAGTATGCGACCTATGTCTAATAATTTCAGGTTTTCACCACTAGACAGCCACGGGGGTTTAATGAAATTGGGAATTAATTGTTAGTTAGGGGTGTTAATTGAGTTGAGCAGCTCGTAAGCAATTCGAACTCAACTCGGTTAAAATTCGACGCGAGTTGGCTCGACTCGAGACGTTAACAAGCACAAGTTGAGTAAGATTTAGCTCAGCTTGATAGGCTCGTGAGCAACTTGATAATATGTTTTACTGTATTACTATATAATTTAAAAACAAAGTCATCATGATTAAAAAAAAAATGACACTCAATAAGTGTTAATTTATATTATAATAAAATAAAGAATATAAATCTAATCTATTACATATTACTAAAGGTGAAACCTAAAGGGACAAATGTTGGCGTTACATTAGAAATTTTCCCTCCAAATGTATTAGCCAAAAAGAAAAATAAATAAATAAAGAATAAATAAAAAAAAAATTCTTACTCTACCAAAGGATTGTATCTAGATTATTATATACGCTTTACTAAAAATATAAACTAAACTTTCTAAAATATTAAATACTTTATTATAACTATTAATTATTGTTGTTTTTTTTTTCAAATATGCTTCATACTCTTAAATAATTGGTGTGTCGAGTACTTATTTTTTACACAATTTTTATAATTTTGTTGTCATTAAAAGTATTTAACAACTTTGCATCTATTGTACGGGGTTCAACCTAGTAAAAAATAAATAAATATAAAAGCTTATATAAAGCGGGAAAAGAAAATAATAAAACAAAAAAGAATGACATATAATTTTAGAAGGATCAAAACCTTAACGAGCCATGATCGACGAATAATCCACACATTCAAATTTCAAATATTTCTATGGTTTACATAGAATAACGTAACAGTCTACAAATTCAAAACTTTTTTCTTCAAGAAGGAGAATTTTTGCATGGTTTAACCATTAACGAGGGCGGTTCAAATCAGTAATCATATTTATATCCATTGAATGCAGTCCAGAGAACTCTCCAGTACTTGGATTACCACTATAACCATTTGAAGGCACAGGGTAAAGATCATGTTGGCCAGTTAAGCCGATTGTCTCCTCGTAGTTGTGCTCGGCCCAAGGATGCCTGTTCTGCTTTTTTAACCCCTCTAGTTCAAGAGCCACTTCTTTCATGGTAGGTCTATCTTCACCCTTGACATTAAGGCAATTCTTAACGAGTTTTGCCAGTGTAACTAGCTGCACTTCACTAGCTTCCCTCACCAACTGAGGATCAAGGATTTCCATTAAACGATCTTCCTTCAATGATAGGACAAAGTATGTAGCCAAATTTCTTTCTTCCTGTTTCCTTTCAAAGGAAAGGGGTTTCTCTTTGGTCAAGAGCTCGGCAAGAACAACACCAAAGCTATAAACATCACTTTTCTCCGTTAATTGACTTGTATGGAAGTACTCTGGATCCAAATATCCCATTGTCCCTTGAACTAATGTTGTCACCTGACTTTGATCAATTGGTATTAACCTTGAGGCACCAAAATCAGCTATTTTTGCCGTATAACTTTCGTCAACTAGTATGTTGGTAGATTTAACATCCCTATGAATTATTGGTATTGAAGCGGCTGAATGAAGATATGCAAGCGCATCAGCAGCCTCTGCAGCAAGTCTAATACGATTTGCCCAAGTAAGCCAAGATGTGATACCCTTACTCTTATGGATATGTTCGAAGAGAGTACCATTCGAGATGAATTCATACACGAGCAAAGGTACCTCGGTCTCAAGACAACATCCTAAAAGTTTCACCACATTTCGATGGTTGATTTGTGTAAGGATGACTACTTCATTTATAAACAACTCAACTTGGGACTCATCTGCAACTTTAGATTTTTTAATTGCAACTTCACGTCCATCCTTTAAAATCCCCTTGTATACTGTACCATAACCACCTTTACCTAATATATGATCTTCACTATAATTATTTGTTGCCACTTTTAATTCGTCTGCAGAAAATATTTTGGACGACTCCATAGTTCCTCCCTTTTGAGAAAGTTGTTGTTTCATTAAAAGTCCTCCATTTTGCTCAAAGAACTTCTCTCTCAATTTCATAAGCTTCTTCCTTCTGGCGCTAAAATAGATCCAACCCACTAATATTAGCAAGAATATGACTCCAAAGCTCATACCTGACAAAGCAATTTCGGCAAAATTTTGGTTATGTTCCCAATTTTTTACATTATGTTGGTGTAAGAAGCAAAAGATAACTAAAATAAACGTTAAATAATAGTACTACTTCTCATTCGATCAGGAATTACATAGACGCCTATTGTATAGGCTCTACAATAACATATTTTTACTAAAAAAAATAGAAAATGCTAGTAGCACTTGGGGGATTAACATGGACCACCACTACAAGAAAATTGTTTTTTGGCAACAAGTTTTGGCAACAACAATTTTTTTCATTGCAAAAGATAAATTTCAGCAACGGGGAAATCTAGGTCGTTACTAAAGATTGTTGCCATAAAACAATTTTCACTTTCCCTCCACATATATCAAGCGGCGGGAATTGCCAAAAGGGGGAGTTATTTTTGGCAACAAACATTTTGTTAGCAAAAAACATTATTATGTATGTGCTTTCTCGTTATAATAAATTAATAAGTTTTTTACTACAAAGGTTGTCGTTGTGAAAAATATTTTTAAAATAAAAAAAAATACAATTATAATTCTGGAGGGTTCTAATTCCCCTTTCAGATCTAGGTCTAATTCTCCAATCTCTCTCTCGCATCTCAAAATTTCCTCGCTCATCCCCACTTCTCACCGCGGTTCTCTAGTGATTTTCTCATCTTTCGGTGGTCCACCTTCAATTCCTCTTTCCAACAGCTTGTCTGCATACTCCCCCAATCTTTAAAATTTCTTGGAATTATAATAGCTTTTGTTGTTGATGGCTAAGCAGGTATTACATTCTTATTTATAATATGTATTGGAAAATCTCTCATATTATCTAAATCTACTCCATAGCAGGTTAATTCCGCCTTAGTGTTTGCTTCGATACCCACTTCACTCTCAGGTAAATGATTGATTTTTTAGTTTCTGAAATTATAATTAATTGTATTAATTTGGGTATTGTTATAATTAGGATTTTATTCATACTATATATCGATTTTGTTTCTTGTAGTTTCTTCTTTTTAATGATAGTAATATTTTAGGAACAGTGGCTAAAGTAGCAGCAAAATTTAGTGGATCTTCAGAAAAAGTATATATTTGTATAGATTTTCTATTATTGCATCCTCTTTTATTATGTTAGATTTATAGTGTAAATTTTGACATCTGCATGTTTAGCTATATACTTGAAAGTTTTGGAGTTTCTTGTGTGGCTCAATTTGTTCATCAATTTATTTGAAGTTGGCTAAAACAATATGAAAAGATTCGCAGATCTAATTGCTGATGCTTAATTCTTTTCTTGTCTTTCTCTGGTTTTGTACCTTAGTATGCTCCTATACTCAGAATAGTTTTTTTTTAAAAAAAAAAAATAACTTCACAAGCTATCATAGATAAGTACTAGGAATGCTATTGAATGATGTCTTTTAATTTTTAGTACTACGTACTCAAAAGTTCATTGAACAAACATTGCTCATAGTGAGGCATACTCTGTAGTTTTGTAATGGATAGTATTTGAATGGCTTGTCGGGTCGTCTTATTTGTGTTCTATATGCAGTGTTGTTGCATGCATGCGTGGTCTATTTGATTATAAGAGGTATTATGGTTAAGTAATTTGTGGTAGCTACTAGGTTCTTGTGAGTGTATGTGTATTACACTAGTGTATGTAGTAGTTGTTAGGTGTGTGTGAGTGTATTACACTAATGTAAGTCCTGGTTGTTCTTGGTGGTGTTGTAGGCTAAGCTAGTAGGGCCTTTTGTGATGTTGGCAGTTGTAGAGCTCTGGATTGTGACACTATGAGCATAAGTAAGGGGGTTATAACTTATAAGCTGTTCTTTTCTTACTTTAATTTCATACTAGTATATGTATTATGAGGTGCTCTTTCCTTACTTTCAATTTGGGTGTGTTTAAGTATTTGATGTATCTTTATTTTACTTTCTTTTCTCATTAATGATATAGTGGTAGTAGTACTCTAATACTATGTTTCTTTGGATGGAGTTTACTCAGTAATATAAGTGGATTTGTTTATGTAGGTCATAATTAAGATCCTAAATGGCTTTACTTACTCAGCAATAGAAGTTTTTATTAATCAATTTGTTAAAACCCAAAGGGATGTCTTTT